AACAATCTCCTGCCATTAAGGACGTGGTACGTGTCCTCTAACCGGCGGTTTTGCTGTCAAATGGCACTGCAGGATAAACGGTTATGACCCACGACCCTCTGAACTGAGTGGTTTTGCCGTCAAATGGCACCACGAAATACCGGTTATGACCAGAGCCAATACGTTCCTTAATGTCATCAAATCTTTGAGATATGAATCAATAGGATATAATCGATAAGGCACAAAAACCTCTGTTAGCTAAGGTGGATTCAAATTTGTCCCATAAGATATACACTCATCCTAGGTCTATAAGGTTCCCTTGGACGAAGCAACCCATGGTTGTCGACAAGGATCCTTCTGTCAGGTTGGGTCGACTACCTCCTCTAACTAAGTAGATCGGGACCATGATGGTCCGGGACGACGAAACCATGGGATCTTGATCGGGTCCATAATCCATTCCCTCACCATCCGCTTTAAGTGCAAGATGGTGAAATTTCTTTTTTAAATATCAAATTTTCCAACCCAAATTCCAAACATCTGAACTTTTCAAATACCTATGCCCATGCTGCTACTATATGCCAGATAACACATATATTCTACGTATCTGATTGACGACTAGCCTTAATCGAAAGTTCTCTTGTGACCGGGAGGGGTAATTAACTATAGGGGCTTGCGCCTATAGGAAACAAGAACACATATCATAAAGTCCTCACAAAATGAGGGCGAAATCTCTGGGTAGTATCTTATCTACAAACCCATCTACCTTCCCAAAATTTACCCCAGAACTTATTCCGTTAAAACTCCCTCACCAAAAAGAAAAAGCAAACAATGCGGGCGAAGGTCAGGGCCGAATTTTCGGAGCCCACAATATAGCCTCATAAAATGAAAGGGAAAATAAAAGACGACATTACCCCTAGGGCTTACATATGACAAAACCCTTAAGTAAGGGTACAACGAGAAATGTTATTAAAATAAATACATAAGCAAATAAATAAAATAAATACATATGAAAACTCAAAAATAGATCAGCGCGATCGTAACCGTAGATCGTCGGCCACGCCTCTAATATACTTTCCAAGATTTGATGTCCCCATCATTATTAATGGGTCAGTTTATATCTAACATGCTTGTCCTTCAAGACACTTTTGGTTCTTTAAGAGTCTGGTCCTTTGCTAAATGTAATTAAGAATATAAATTTCATTCTTGATTTTGTCCATGTTTTGTGAGGGGTTAAAAAGGAGGTTTAGTGATACATTCCAAAACCTTATTAGCAAGTGAAACAACATCAAACTAGGGTGTCATGAAACTTAAGCTAAGAGTATAATGTAAGGTTTATAAGTCTTGTAGTTACACATTATTTGTATAAAGAATATATTATTATATCACTTCTTGCGTCATTAAAGATCTTAAGCTACAATTTAGGAATGATCTAGGCTACAATTCATCAAAAATTCAATATGAAGATTTATTTAGATCTTTAAATGTTGAGTTGTATTAAGATAATTTTATTAGAACAATCAGATTCCTAAAGAAACATTAATGTCATCTTCTCTGAATTTTTGCCATATACATGCCAATTAGAAGAATTATTTGTGGATGAATTTAATACAATTGAAAAAATTATAATTAATGGAATTTAATACAATTAAAAAAATTATAATTAATTGATATTCTTTTGATATTTTGCAAGTTCTGAAAATGATTTTCAACTATAATATGATCATAAATCTAATTATTTCGAGTTTGAATTTGCACATATGTTAGAATCTGTTCATGAACTTAGAATATGCTCATAAACCTAAATCTATACTTGAACGATCAAAAATGAAGTTTGAAAGCAAAAATGAGCATAAGATCATACTTAAATAAATTGCTTATTAATGATGACAATTAATGTGTAAAGTTCACACAAGTCATGAAAAAGAATGTGGAAGTTCCTATGACCGACGATAATTATTTTGCAAGTATGTGTAGTATGTAGTAGTTTCTACGAATACTGAAAGAGATGCAAGTAGACAAACTAGTATGATATATAATGAATGAAAGCATCTACAAACTGTACAACAAAGGAAAGTGAATATAGCAACCTACTAGTCAACGCGCATACAGAGGTTGGTGACAAATGCAAACTCCTATGAATTACCGTAGGAGACCTGTCACATACATAAAGTGTCATCCCCAAACAGATACATGTGACCGTCATCAAATGCAAACCTCTACGAGTTGCTAAAGAAGACTCATTTTATATTTAACATTTCATTTGCAACTAGAGAAGGAAGATATGCAAGCAAATACATCAATTCACTACATACAAGAAATGATTATATGCATCAAATACAAACTCCTATGGGCCCCCACAAAAGATTAGTCATAAACATCACAAGGTGCAAATGTACATACAATGTCTTCTGTAGTCAAAGGCAGTATACCTATACTATATGTATGCAAGGCGCTTGCGAGTTGTTACAGCACCCTCATATTCAACAAATGTCAATCAAATATGTTGATCATTTGCAAGCAGAGACGAATAACAAACAAAAAATGCAAGCCTCTATGATCAAAACCAGGAGATTTATTAGTGCATTATGATCCACTTGCATAAAACAATAAGTAGTGCACGACATTCTACCTGTACAAAGCAGCAAACAACTAAATCCAGAAGCTGCTGCAATACGTCATCAGATCCGCAATATCTATACAAGCTGATAGAAGGCATTTACAAATATTCCAAAAAATGCCCCCGCACATACACTATAATTTGTATATACATAGATACACAAAAGGGGTAAGTGCATTTATAAAACCCGCATGGGCCCCAACCAGCGTGTTGTGAGAACACACATAACATCTAGGGATGCTGCGCGGGTCAATAAATAAATCCAAGTTCGAGCCCAATCCTTCTATGCAGGTAGATAGCAGTCGACATGGCTCGAACCATTAAATAAATATACGGTTGCGAGACTGGGATATTTATTTTATACATTCATATTAAACCTTCAATAAAGAAAATTCATTAACAAAATCATACAACCTACGAAACATGATCCCCAATCGACAAGTTAATAGAATCGACAAGGTTCAAGCCACAAATGGAAATAACCACAAATACCTCAATAATAGTTGTGTTGAATGCAAATATCAATCGAATGGGTTAATTTCAAATAATTCAAATATCTACTAAGCACCACCCAAATACCCGAAAATCTAAAACTCCAAGAAAAATCTCAATTCCAAATATTTAAAATTTAAATTCATCAATTCAAAAATTTAAAGCAAAATCTATCAGTACTCCGCAACAGTTTGTCAACGTGGACAAATTGAAATTTACTTCAGCTCACATAGAGTTAATGCATAGTTGAAAATATCACTAGGATTCATTCTCAAACAATCTCCTTCCAGTAAGAACATGGTACGTATCCTCTGACTAGCGGTTTTGGCGCCAAATGGCACCGCAGGATAAACGACTATGACCCGGGGCCCTCTGAACTGAGTGATTTTGCCGCCAAATGGTACCAAGAAATACCGGTTATGGCCATAGCCAATAAATTCCTCAGTGGCATCAAATCCTTGAGATATGAATAAAAAGGATATAATCAATAGATCACAAAGCCCTTTGTTAGCTAAGGTGGATTCAAATTTGTCCCCTTAGACAAACATTCATCGAATGTCTACAAGGTCCCCTTAGACGAAGCAACCCATGGCTGCCGACAAGGATCCTTCTATCATGTTGGGTCGACTACCTCCTCTGACTAAGTAGACCGAGACCATGATGGTCCGGGACGACGAAACCATGGGATCTTGATCGGGTCCATCATTCATTCCCCCACCATCTATTTAAGTGCAAGATTGTGAAATTTTCAAGTTTTAAATATCCAATCTTCAAACACCCTTCAAATACCCAAACTCATGTTGCTACTATATTCTAGATAACGTGTATCTTCTACGTATCTAATTGATAACTAGCCTTAATCGAAAGTTCTCTCTCATTAATGGGAGGGGTAATTAACTATAGGGGCTTGCGCCTATAGGAAACCAGTACTCAGATCATAAAGTCCTCGCAAAATGAGGGTGAAATCTCTGGATAGTGTCTTATCTACAAACCCAACTTCCTTTCCAAAATTTACCCCGGAACTTATTCCGTTAAAACTCCCCCGAAGAAAAAAAGCAAAGCGGGTGGAGGCTGGGGCCGAATTTTCAGAGCCCACAGTTCAAATGGTTTCAAGAGTTGACTTCTATAATATAGCACTTAATCTTTCATGGCAGTCATTTCTCATCTTACAATTGATTTTTTTGCTTTGATTCCATTTACATTGGATCAAAGTCTTAATCAACAAAATAATGTCCACTTTGACCTTAGAAACCCCACAATTTTATCCCTTTGATGCAACTTCTAAGAGAACATTAGTCACTCATCCTAAGAGTCCTCCAACATAATTCTGCTTAACTTTAATTTTCCTCACAAAACTCAGACCATTACACCAAAAGGCACTTGGATGTTTAGTTCTACTTCATCAAATTTAATGGATCTTACAAAATTATTTCATCTATTGCTGCTAGTTTGGAAGTATCAGTCTGCTATTATAGTACAAGTTTGTCTATAAATTTGAATTCTTTAATTGATTCTATGTTTTTGTTACTCCCTTGTTTGATTCTTAAACGAGTGGTTCTTTGATTGGAGGATGTTTTATCATAATACATGCTACAAAGATGAATATCACGAAGAAAATAACCAGAAACATGGTAAATGGAAGCAAGCTTCACTTACATGGATGTGACAGTTGAGACCAGCCAATTCTTTAAGAAAAAAATTAATTTAAATAACCACATAGTTCAGCCTCTGTTAAAAGTCAAAACAAAGTAGACTTTTTGAACTGCATGCACTTCTAAGATTATCATTACAACAACATGTAACATTAAAAGAATATAGAACTGTAATTGCAATAAAGCAGCATGGAAAACTAATACCTAACAAGCAACAAGTTATGATAGATCTACAAAACTACAAAGAGAAGATTCAATACCTGCAACGTCTCGACCATCATAAATTCCTTTGTAAACTATACCATACGTCCCTCTTGCCAGTTCATACCTTAGCTCAAGCTTAGACAAATCAATCTCCCATTGATTCCCAGGCATATCAACCTTATGCTTGCACCAAGTATTTTTCAGCTGCTTCGCTAGTTGAATATCCAAACTCTTAAGATCAATTTTATCTGCTCTAAAAAACATGTCTTTTCTACCAAAGCTACCAAGAGCTTTCAATTTAGACCGAAAGCCCCCATCCTTCACCTCAATTTCAGTTCCCATCAACCCAGCCTTCTCCTCTCCATTGGAATCCATTTTCAAGGACTAAACCAAATAAAAGCACTCGAGCAAAATCGTTCCCAATCAAAGAAACAGAAAAAAAAAAAAAAAGTAAGAAAAGCTGTCTGATTCTGAGATTTCTTTCACTGCGCGAAAATGCTAGGAGTGAAAGTGAACCCTAAATTCTCTTAATTTCAGAGAATTCCCTCACTGAAAATAACGAACAGATGAAGCCCAATATAGAGCTGGAAATTAGGAACGTAAAAAATAAGGCAACTTCAGCAACCGTATGAGGAACCAAACAATCCTTCAACGAATTGAAAAAAAAAAACTGAAATATCAAATTAAAGAATAGATAATGTAGTATACAATGCCAGTACAAAGACAAAAGCTCAAATGCGCCATGCGAGAACCTTTCAAATAAACCCCAGTCGAACAAATCATAGAAAAGAAAAAAAAAATCCACCTTCACTGACCGGAATTGCTCAAAAGAACCCAATTTCCTCTGCATTCAGCATAACGACAAAAGGAAAGGAAAGAGAAAGAGAAAGAGAAGCCAAAAGTAAGAAGAAATACGAGAGAGATGATATCACCTTCAACGTCGACCCAAAAAAAAAAAAAAGATGGAGTTTTGCGAATGGGAAACAGCGATGCAAGTACGAAAACTCGAAGTAAAGAACATTCTCACCAGAAAACAACAAAAAGACAAAAGCAAGCTCGGAGCTCTTAGCTGTAGTTTACTGTAATGAACTTAACAATTTTCGGTTCAAATTGGGCGATAACATTAGAGGTCAATAAAATATTAAAAGAAAAACTTGTCGGGAAAAAATTATGCGACCAGAGGTTCAGTATCATTGAATTGACTACATACAAAGCTAATTAATTTATAGCTATTAAAGTATACAGCGAATTTTAATCAGGGCTAAAAGAGGCTATTCCGTTTGAAGTAATAAGGGGGTATAAAGTATTTTAAAAATACAGGTTTTGATAATATTGATTTTTTATTTGGATTCGATCAAATGCAGCGTAAAATTTTAATGTATTTGAAATTCATCATCTACTTTATTTTTTGCGTTTTTGAAACTTATCAGATTTGAGAGATTTCTAAATATGTCGAAACTTCATTGCCCATCACCACCGTCCGTCGCCATTGACGGCAACCTCCGACCACTGTCGCCTACCACCCACCTATCCCAAACTATTGTCAACCACCACCGATCGCCACCCACCACCACTATTGTCCATCATTGCGCTCCACCAATTGCCTAACGCCACCATCGTTGGCTGCTTTCCTCCACCATCATTGTTGCCCCACCTTAAGGAGAAATTATTACGTCCGGTCAAAAATCGAACGGTCCGAATGTATACCGAGCAATACTGAGTTAAAAAATACCGAGTTTTAGGTGACGTGGCGCGTGGTTATTGGTCTCTGAACGCATTCGGACACCGGATGTAATAATTGCTCCACCTTAAGGACCCTCCACAGGCCGCCACCACCACCATCTAGCACCACCACTGATTGCCGCCACCGGTCATGCTTTACACTGAATTTATTTTACGTCAAACCAATCTAAACTGCAATTACCCGCATTTATTTTACATTTATTCAAACAACTTCAAAGAAAGACAAATACACTGTATTTCTTTTACATTCCAGTTTCAATCAACCAAATAGCCCCTATAATAGGATGACAAGAAAGAATCTTTCTATGAAGTCCCTGATTATTTTATTTTGAGTTGGCGAATAATTTTGACGACTTCAATTGATAATTTCATTGGTTGAATTTAGTAGACTAGTTAAATTTCTTTAGCAACTTCAAATTTGAGGCTAGTTCAAGATCTTTGATGACTTCAATATAATTCAAGATCTTTGATGAATTTAGTAGACGAGTTCAACATATTTGATAACTCATAAAATTCGATTGACCCCATTAATATAATTATAATGGAACTCTAATGACTGCTTACACATTTCAATGAAGTTCCTTTCAAACGTCACCGTAACGGCTAAATTCGGTCAAAAAATTCAAAAAACAGCTGAATTTTATTTATGTAAAATAATGGGTTTTGGATCAGTTTCATCAAAACCCAAAAAACCTAAAGCCGTACGATAAATTCTTGGCCGATTCGGTCAAAATTATTTTTTTTTATTTTAAGGAAGAGTAATATTATGAGCCAGTGGTAAGCAATTTCATTGGTAGATGCTTTAGAATTTAGGTGCAATGTAGTCCTTAATTTTAATTATATAATTTATAGTAATATTTTGATGAATTGATCTATACTTTAATTAATTTAAAACTTTCTTGCTTATATGTTAAGGTGATAAAGAAATAATGCATTAGTTTATGATTTTCATAATTGGATGTAATTAACTTTTTCAGTATAGCATATTAGGGCCCACCTCCCTTGATTATTCTTGCTATGGAGTCTATGTCAAACTCTTAAGTAGGCTTAAGCACAATTGACACCTAATAGGGCTTAACAAGGGATTAATAAAAAATTAAAAAAATTAAAATAAAAAATAAACTCTACGAAGTAACCAAGAGTCGAACACTAATAGCAGGGGAGGAGCCAGGATTTTATTCATGTGGGGGCACAAAATTTTAAATTAATTTAAAAACTCTCAACCTTTTTCATCCGGACTTGGGACCGGCATTGGTGGTTTTAAAATTTTTTTTTAATCGTTAGATTCATTATAAAAAGATAGAATAAATAATAAAACAAAAAACTTACATATCATTTATAATTTCTCCCGTCGAGTCTTTATTTTTTGAAATCGTTGTACAATCAATTCATTGTGGATACTATTGAATATATTTTTTTCAATATAAGTAAGTAAGCAATCATTCATCCAGGAGTTGAGCCACACTCAAACCATACTTTGCAAATAAAGCTTCAATGGCCAATTTTAGTGTTGGGGCTGTTATGTGAACTGTTCTTATTACCAACATGAATCTGCAATTATAAGCTTTGTGATCATCAAACCATACAGGATTAAATCGACGAATTTTATCGCCAAATTGGGTACGTGGAAAATCATGATCACGCAGTTGGAACGGTCCTTTCAACAAGTAATGTTTCCTAACACAATCCCTTTCATTAGGATGATAATCCAATATTTTTTTTCTCAATCCAGGATCGGCAGGGATATCTGCAAAATTTATTTCTACACGGCAATGTTTGAATTGTGTATTGGTTTCTTCACATAATGTTTTCTGATCATCTCCTACTTTTTTTTTGAAATATATCTCCATGCTAAATTAAACAAAAGTAATATTAAAGTCTTAAAGAGAGGTAGCACTAAAGAAATATTCTACTGTTTAATTTAAAACTTTTAAAAAACATTTAATTAAGCACTACTTACATCAAAAATATAATTACATGATTACATCAAAAACGGATTACATAAATTTTAAAAAATATGTAATCTAAAAGAAATAATATTCTGCTTTAAATTTTTTAAAACAATAAACAATAAATCATAAAATATTAAATATGAGTCTTTAACTTATGATCTAAAAGAAATAAATAGTTTTTGTGGTTTGTTCTTTCATTATTTCGTCCAAAACAGATTTTGATTCCTAGTTAAATCGGGAAAATTTCTCACAAAAACATGTTTTTTTTATACCAATTTTCAATTGAAACTCAAAAATAATAAAAAAATAATAATAACTTGAAGACTAGGAATCTAGGATAATAGTTAGGTAAAATGATTCAGTATTTTGCTTACGAGTTACGACGGACTATGCGTGACCGCGGGCCGGCGACTGCTAACTGGGCGGCAGGGGCGGAGGCGCGGAGACGGAGCCACGTTCCACAGGCGATTGCGTCTGTGTCTGCGTCTGCGTGAGAGATGAAAAGCCTGGGCCAAAGCAGGGAGAGGGATTAATTTTCGGCGATTGCGTCTGCGTGAGAGATGAAAAGCCTGGGGCACATACCCCCAGTGCCCCCACACTACATCCGCCCCTGACTAATAGCACTCCTGTAAGATCCTATCATAACTTAGGGTCACTTATGACCTTATTATGGACTGATATCCATTGAGTCTACCTACTTGGATCATAGGTTGATCAAAATCAACATTTAAACAAACTTAGCCTAAAATCTAATCTTGATCCTTTGCGCATCAAACCCTACTAGTTAACTCCCTTAAGTTATAGTTTCACTATAGTCAAAACCTAATCAACCCTAAACTAGTCTTAAACTTTTGGGGACTTACATAAGGGATTGTTAATTCATGATAGAGTTGCAAACATTATAAAGCAACAATGAAAAAAAAAAATCTAGAAATTATACTACTTTCTATGACCTTATATACCTGATGAGGAGCTTTCCATATTTTATTTTATGGAGCACCTATAGCGGTAGATGGTATTTTTGTTGTAGTTGATAGATTCTCTAAAATTATATATTTTATACATTAAAATAAAACTAATAATGGATCTCATACTACAAGAATTTTTTTAAGAAAACTAATAATGGATCTATATTACAAGAATTTTCTTAAGGAGATTATCAAACTACATGGGTTAACCAAGTCCATAATTTATAATTGAAATCTCATATTTATTTTATATTTTTTGAAATTGTATCAAAACTAATTGTTACTATACTTAAATTCTATTCAATTTTTCACTCACAGATAGTTGGGAAAATTGAGGCATTAAATAGGTCTTTATGGAACCTATTAAGATATTTAGTGGGGAAGAGCATGAGAATTGGGTTTTGCATTTAGCCATATCAAAATTTGCCCTTAGTAATGCTATTTACACCCCAAAAGTCCCATTACATTACTAATGTTCCATCTAATAGATTTCAAACTTTATATTTAAATTTTAATAGTTTTAATAAGTCTTCATAAAAATATAAGAAAATAAATTGAACATAATAACACTAAATATTTTGGGGCTAAAAATAAATCAAAAAGACAAAAGAGTGTATCGAGGGTGAATATATAAATACCTAAAAGAAACACCACATATAAGAAGCTTTATGTAATAGCTTATAGCCCTTCTAGAATCATTTAAAAATTGTACCAAAAATAAATTTTCAAGAATTGTTAAATGGCATTCATATAAGTCATATATTTAATATTGATATGTTGCTTTGCATATAAAAGATGCATATTTATGTGTAGAATCACTTACATATGTTAAAGTTATCATAAGATCATAGTTTATTGAAAGGAAGATGGAGACAATTCTAGAAACTCACAAAGATTGACCTACTCTTAAATCATTTTTGGACTCATAAGCTAGTGGGAGCCCCATGGAAGTCAATGGATGGGAAATGTCCAATGAGGGTGCCAAATCAGTCCAAGTCAACATAGATTATCACATCAGTCATTTTCTATAATTTAAGAGATCAACATTTTAATTTAATTTGGATCAACTTTCTTACTGTTTTCCAAAATAATTTTATAGTATAAAATTTCTAATTCATAAATATTTTTTATATTAAAAAACTTTTTTAAAAAGCAGAAAAAACTATTACAAACAAATTTTTCAACAAGCAAAAAAAAAAGATTTCAACAAGAGGAGAGAGAGGTCCAGCTTCTTTAGTCCTTGCAAGTACTCAAGGAAAATAGGACAGAGACGGAATTACTCAAAAGAGAAATCGTTGGAGAAATTTTGAAATTTCAAATTTAATTCATTCCAAAAAAAAAAAATTCTACGAAATACCAATTTCTCTCATATAAAAAACTTTTTAATGCATGAAAAATCTATTTTCAAATAAAAAAGCATTCGTAGACTGATTCGTTTTATTAGAGTGCAAGATGTGTTGAAAATCCTCAACCACCACAAATTACTTATCTCACTAATAACAATGGCCTGAAAAAGTTCAAGCCTTTTATGTCGCTGGTCATTAGCATTAGCATTATCCTATTTAAAACCAAATCATTGAAGCACTAGCAAAACACTTGGGAGCTGTTTGGCTAGAAAAAAAAATAAATGCAAAGTAAAATAAATGCATTATTTTTTTATTTTTTAATGTTTGATTGGATAAAAAGCAAATCCAAGGTAAAGTAAATAGATGTGTTCCATTTTAATTCATTTTTAAGGTAAAACATTGTCGCCGAATTTGATCGAGAACATTTTACACTGCTCAACTGTTTCTTTGACAACCCACAGCGACCACCGTCTCCAGCACCACCTGCTAACTGCTGCAAACAGCCAACGACTGCCGCTGCCAATTGCCGCCCACCACGATCACAACCTTCTAACAATTTACATAGGATTTTACTTTACTTCAAACCAAAAGAAAAAAAAAAAGTAGAGTCCTGCATTCCTTTTTCACTCATTCAAGCAGCTCCAAAGTAATCCTTTAACCCCCCATTCTTCATCGTTGCATTCATTTTACATTGCATTCCTTTTTCAGGCAACTAAACAACTCCTAAGCGGAATAGCAAAAATATAACAGACTAATATTTGCAGATCACTATAGAGATGTTCACCATATAATTGAAAGGTTAATAGTTCATATGTGAAACAATATATAAATAAAAGGGAAAAATAACATCAAAAACAAAATCTTAAAGAAATTCTTGCACCAGCATGCCAAACATAACATTGCAATATAACTGTGATAGCCAGAGCACATTTAACTAAAAAGTGCAGCTTCACTTCCTAAACTTCACAAAGGGATAATGGAATCAACAAGGATCCCTAAATTTGAATTACACACTTATGCACACCAATACTTTGGCAACTAAAACTGTGAAATATGCATGTAATAATTTCACCATAATAAGAGGGTTTTCGAAGTACAACGCTGGATCAATGAAAGACAAAAAGAATGTTCGAGGGAGATATTCTAACGGCTAGTTTTCATTTGAATTCATTTTTCAAGGGTAAAGATACAGGTGGCTCCTTTCAAGGTTTATGTTTTTAAGGAAGAAACAGTTGATTAATTAAAAATCTTAAAAAAAAAAAAAAAAACCTTCCAAATAATTCAAGTTCGAATTCTCAGGTGAACAAGTAGTGTATCTTCATAAATCTATGGCGAAAAAACTCCACAATCAGACAACCACAATCTTTGCCGGTCAAAGAGCCATCAAGCACATACCTGCATTATATTTCAAAACCAAGAAGCCTCAGATTCGAACAAGTTAGCACAACAATATGATATGAAAACAAACCATGCAAGATATACTCAAATAGTCTTTTTGATTCAGGATGAGAAATAAATAACATGGAATATAAAAAAGGAACGCTGCAATTAAAAATAAGAAGAAGAGGGAAAGATACCTTGCAACTGGATTATTTTCCAATCAATCATTAATTAGAAACATTTTAGTTTTTTACAAACATAAATATGAAGGAATGACGTAGGAAATCCTCAGGTGTTCACTGTCTTCTGTACCTGCAGTTAACCAGAAGTTCTTTTACTGATATATAGTATTTCGGACTTCTTTGCGTTTAGAACACTGATATAGATTGAAACCTGAAATAATCATTACAAAAATAAAATAAAATAAAATAATTTGAATGCGCAGGGCTCTGTATTTGCAGGTTTCCAATTATCTTCAAAAATTCCCTGAATGAAGTTGACTGAATAGTTTGGAAGATCTTTAAAACCAAAAATGATTCCAGGTCCGGCCAATTATGGCGGTATAGTTCGGAACTTAGAAGATCTCAAAATTGACAACTATTTGAGGACTAGCAAAATATTGGTAAACTAAGCAAATATCACATTTTAAACAAGCTAAGACAAATTTTATTTGACCATATAAAGCAAGTTTAAAACACATTTTTACTGAAGCGAAAAACAGGAAAAAACAAAGAAAACAAAATCTAGCCGCCTGCTCATGTAGGTAAAAATTGAGATGGTGTTGGACACTATAAATAGTTAACTCCAAGTAACTATATTCACAATTTATTATACCAAAAATAAATATATGGAACAAAAAACTGCATAAATAAGAAACTAGCAACAAAAATAAAAAACAAAATAAAAACATACCAAAGTTGATGACTTAAGTAGCTCTCTGATGGCCATTGTGGCATAACATGAAGCAGGAAGAGTAAAGCCCAACTTCAAGGCCACCTTTGGATCAGAATAATCACACTCCGCTGGTGCAGTCACCCCATTTTGATCCTCAGACATAAAACAATCAGAACCACCACGTTTTCTAGTCTGCAGAGAGTCTTTGTCATCCGGACTTGTATTAATAGAACTCTTGTTTGTCACCAAATCAGTGTTCTTTGACCCAACCAAGATATCCATATCTGTTTTTGCCAAGGATTCATTGTTATCTGTATAAGTTAGCAACTCCCTGTAAACATTTACATTAATGCTTTATCAGATTCTTTCATGATAATTCTTTTGAGGTTCAGAATCGTTCACTCACTCACCAAGTATAATCTATAGGACGCTGAAAAACACGCCTATAATCTCCCGTCATGCTAGTAATAGAGAATTCCCTTCAAAAGTTGACCGAAATGATCAATTCTAAGAGAACATAAAATTTGGGTGGCAGAGGTGAATTTGTCATTCGTGTATGTTACATGTAACTACCATAAATTCTTTTTTTTTGAAAAAGAGCTTTGTTTAAATATCATAGAGTATCAAAAAGGATGTAGAAACTTACTTAACACCATGAACACTTTCTGTCAAGCTTACACCATCCTGAGTCCAAATGAAAAATAAAATAAAATAAATGTCAAGCATAATGAGGAGAGACATGTCTTATTCAATTCATTGAAAGAAATCCTATGAGATACAATATTGAAATTGCTCGACTCTGATCCATGGAGAGATCTTTCAAAGACAAGGCATAGACGTACTTTCTTCAGTTTATCAGGAATTCAAGTCAAACCAGACAACATTGCATTTGCATCTAAATTCATAAACGACCCCAAGGTTAATTTTAACAGTTACTTTTATCTTTGTGACCAAATTGTGATATTTTCTAATAGTCAAAGGACCAAATTAGATTATCATAAAAGTCTAGGACTAAATTGAGCATTTACTAATACTCAGAGGAATATTTTGAGGATTTAATTTAAATTTAATAAACTCATAAACACAAACACTCAAATAAGTCCTTGAAAATCACCTTGCCGTTGAGACAATTATTAAGGCACGAAGGAACAAAGTTTTCACTCATAAGATTTACATTGAAAAGTCTAAATTTAGTTTTATTAGTCGGTATCACTGTTTACCACCAAGATGGGCCGTTGTACTATATATTAGGATGAAAACATGACCACAAACCACTAGGAGCCCAGTGATAGGTGAGGTATGGGATTCACATGATAGTTACACATGACTAATTTTCCTTCTCTACTGTTATAACTTCTCATTTACAATATCATTGTCTAAATAATCATGCCTGCAACCTTTTTTCTGATCCAACACCATTTGGAATTTCCAATGCAGGAAGAACTTTTTGAATTGTTATACCTATCAACTTAATTCCTTTTCCTAGGTCATTATGTTGCAACCTTCGATCGATCTAGCATTTCTTTTCCTCTTTTTTCGTCTCTCACTTTGCAACCCTTATTTTGAATGTAGAAAGGCAGATAATTATGTCGGTTTAGTCACAAAATGCTATAAGTCCTGCATATGATTTCTGAATTAAATCCAATTCAAAAGTAATTTATTGAGATTGTGCATCCTTTCTTTCTATTTATGCTAAAAAAAAGATTGCATAAATATAAAAAAAGTGCAGGTGAAATCCAATCTATTTTTTAAATACATAACTCACACACAATCCTTTAAAAAGAATCAATACACCCAACATTATGATTAGATTTTTTGGAGTAATTGCAAAAATATTGGTATTGAACTCAAAACTCCAAGAAGATGTTCAGTACCTCAAGAAAACAAAAGAATCAATTATATTTTTTTCATATGCTCTCACATATAGATAAGACTAACAAACAATATAACCCTTTTTATCACTACTTTTTATTCTTAATGGAGTTTAAGAATTCCCAAATTTCTTTGTTATGATTATGTCTTTATTCTTCTATTTTTTTATATAAATAACTCAATAACATAAAAAAATATATAAATATATGAAGTCACCTCAAACATGTTTATAGCAACAAATAGTGATAGGATATGACTTCTAAATTAAAAAAAAAAAAAAAAAGTTAGTAGTGGAGTTAAACTTGAAAAAAATAAGCATGTCATCATCATCATCAATAACTTATCCACACAATTTTCCGAGTGCCCCCTTCAATTTTGTATATATATATATATATATATATAAAAGCTAGAAGTTACAACATAGTGTCATGCAATACAAAATGACACAATGGCAAACACATCTTGAACAATTTGGGACAGTTCTAAATGGCGATAACCACCTTTAAAGTCCTATGTACCTAGTGAATATATGATAATAGGTTAAATAAAGCTATTAATGAGGAAATCATTTCCTTAATTGGGGAGATTAAAAGCATGATGAAGCAAACCTCTTAAATAATAAGACACGTTTTAGTATATAAGTTGGTATTTCGCTGGGAACTTCAAAATTAAGGGTGACCATGCTGGAGCATTCCAAAGATGGTTGGTTGGCCTTCTTAAAGTTACACCAAGAGAACATAATAATACTTGTTAACCCGAAATGGACATTATCTCGATGCATTAATTTTCAAACTGTGACAAAACCTAATTAGCAACTAGGAATGACAGTGCAAATAATCAATTAGTTCAAACAGCTTAACCCAAGATACCACTGACTGGCAATTAAATCCACTGTTTAGGGCAAGCTAAGGTGGCTCGAAGTTTTAACCCTGGCTAGTCTACTCTAGATTAAATAGAATGTCAGCTTACTACAAATCTCACTTTTAAATCTCGTATCAATAAAATGCATTTCTTATGTTAACAAGCATTCAATAGATCTGATTAAAGCAGAAAAGCATGCCAAGCAAAGTCATAAACCCTTCAACTTTGTATATTACCGGCATTGGTTTGTATTCTTCTCATGGTTATGGGTTATTCAAAAAACTTCAAGGCTTAGAAGTGAACTAAAATGAGCAGAGGACCTATACGAAGAATAGTGGACTTGTGGACTAAAACTCTAAGTGATTTCTAAAGATCAAAACCAAATGAGGTAAAATCAAACTGAAATCAAAATCAAGTCAATACGAACATGCACTTGAACCTGTACTTGAGCTTGAGGACTTGGACTGCATGGGACACTTGAACTTGTTCTTGGAACTCGAACTATGCAATATCAGGGGACCCGAACATAGAACTCAAACTCAAATGAACTCTAACATGAATTGAACAAGGTTTCAAAAGACTTGGACTCAAATGAGAACTTTATTAAGATAGAATCTGAACTCAAGTGAAATACAGCGGATTTGAACTCAAAGCAGAAGCTTGTGAACATTGAATTTGAGTTGGGCAGTATCAAGTGGAGCTTGAATACAACGAACTCCTACAATAATTCCTACGAGATCAAATGCACCACACTTTCAAGGACAACGAGGGAGACTCAAGCATGAGTTGAACTTTGAACTCAGGTCCGATGGAATACATAGAATTGGGACTTTTGATGAATGAACCAATCAGAGTCTAAATGCACAGTTCTCTAAATTAACAACAAGTTACAAGCGGGGGATGAAATCCTGATGCACATAAAAATGTGTGAATTCCTACAACGATCTCTACAAAATGCCTGTTGATTGAGATGGCAATATTGGAGACCAGCAATCAAAGATCCACCCCCGCAAGCAAGTGCAATCGTCAACCACCCGAGATTGATGAAAGGGTGGATATGATGCAGAAGCAATGGGTCTTCTACAAACATTTTCAGGAGGTCGTAGTAGATGCAGCAGTCCCCTGCAAATGGATACTTGTGGATAACAACAGTGTATTGAAAGTACAATGAATCACTGTGGACACAAGTACGAATATCACCTACGACAGTGGTGATCAAGAGCTTCAAGTAAGGGCAGCCCGGTGTATGAAAGAGGACCGTCCCCTGTAAACAAGTAAAATTAGCAGAACCACCTGAGATTGGTGAAAGGTGGATGTGATGCAAGAAACGAGGGTCTCCTATGAACATTCCTAGGAGCTAGTAGCAAACACAACGGACCCCTACAAACAAATACGAGCCGCTTGTGGATAATAACAGTGGGCATATCATAAGCATATCAAACCATTGTAGGCACAAGTACAAGTATCTTCTACGACAATCCATATGAGGTCAAACAAGTACAATCAAACCACCTGAGATTGGTGAAAGGGTGAATATGATGCAGAAAGAATGAATCTCCTGCAAACATTTTCTAGAAGCTCGTAGTGGATATAAGCGGTCCCCTGCAAATGAACACTTGTGGATAACAACAGTGTGTATATCGTAGGTACAACGAACCACTGTGGGCACAAGTATTGATATCACCTACGACATTGGTGGTCAAGATCTTCAAGCACGTCGGGTACAAAGGCAGCCCGATGTACGAAAAGGACACCCACTGACAGAAAGGAGGGAAATGTTTGAACAAATTAGAACCAAACTTCCTGGTGTTCCAAAGTCTCTTCTTAGTTATATACTCGAGAAGAAAACCGTTCTGATGTCTACAAATATCGAAAATGACGGTCTACTACACCAAAGATCCTGAAGGGAGTTCTCCCCAAATCAGCAGCCTTTGACTCCCGAATCCAGAAAATCCTTCCCCAGTGATTGAGAAAGGGGGAGTCAACATCAAAATGCCACGCCATCGGATCTGCGACATCTATGAAAGCAGACAGAAGGCATCCATAATCTACAAATGCTACGCCACCGGATCTGCAACGTTCGTACAAGCAGACAGAAGGCGTGTATAAGCTCTTCAAGAAATGTTGTGCATTCAAATGACAAATACATGCACAACTACAAATATTTCAAAATACCCATACACGTGCACCGTAGTCTGTATACATATAGGTACACAAAGGGGTAAATTCAATCGTTACCCGCATGGGCCCCGGCGAGCGTGTTATTGGTACACACGTGACGCCTAGGGATGCTACGCGAGTCGATAAGTGAATTCTAGTTCGAACCAGATCCTTCTATACGGACCAATAGAAGTCGACAGGGTTCGAACCTTTAAACGTATACACGGTTGTGGAGACCAGTGTATTTGTTTCAATACACTCATATTAGGCCTTGAAGGCCTACAATCAAGAAAATTCACAAACAAAAGGCACAAAGCTTACGAGGAACTCGATCCTCGATCAACAGCCCGGTCGAGTTGACAAGGTTCAATCAACTAAAGTGGAAATGACCCCAAACACCCCGATGATGGCCGTGTTCAATGCAGATCTCAATCGGAGGGGTCCACAAAATATTTCAAAATGCCCTCAAACTTCTACAAAAATTCAAATATTTTTCAAGTGACCTCAAGGTCACCCCGATGATGGCCGTGTTGAATGTTAATCTCAACCTGAGGGGTTCACAAATACTTTTAAATGTCTCCCAAAAGTTCATTCAAAATCCAAGCTCTACCCAAAAACCCAAAACTCTACAAATCCCAAATTCCAAGATATTTAAAATTAAAATTTATCCATCAACTTTTAAAGCAAAATCCATCCACCCTCCGCAACCGTTTGCCGGGGTGGACAAATCAAAATTTACTTCAGCTCACAAAGAGCAAAATGCCTAGTCGAAAATATCACTAGGATCCATTACCGTTATCTACAAACCCATCTGCCTTCCAAAATTTATCCCGGAACTTAGTTCGTTAAAACTCCCCTCGCCGAATAAAAAAAAAAAAAAGAAATCGCGCGGCGGGGAGGCCGGGGCCGAATTTTCGGAGCCCACACAAAAGCACCCAAATATTAAAGTTCTTCAAAATCACCTTTCTGTTGAGACAATTATTAAGGCACGAAGGAACAATCAAAGTTTTCACTCATAAGATTTACATTTAAAAGTCTAAATTTAGTTTTGTTAGTCGGTATCACAGTTTACCACCAAGATAGGCTGTTGTAATATATATTAGGATGAAAACATGAACACAAACCACTAGGAGCCCAGTGATAGGTGAGGTATGGGATTCACGTGATAGTTACACATTGACTAATTTTCCTTCTCTACTGTTATAACTTCTCATTTACAATATAAATTCCTATATAATCATGCCTGCAACCCTTTTTTCTGATCCAACACCATTCTCGTATTTCTTCTTTTCTCAAAAAATTCAATCATCATTGGAATTTCCAATGCAGGAAGACCTTTTTGAATTGTTATACCCTATCAACTTAATTCCTTTTCCTAGGTCATTATGTTGCAACCTTCGATAGATCTAGCAATTCCTTTCCTCTTTCTTCCTCTCTCACTTTGCAACCCTCAATTTGAAGGCAGAAAGGCAGATAAGTATGTCGGTTTAATCACAAAATGCTATGAGTCCTTTTCTGAATTCAATCCAATTCAAAAGTAATTTATTGAGATTGTGCACCCTTTCTTTCTATTTATACTATAAAAAAGATTGCATAACTATAAAGAAAGTGCCTGTGAAATCCAATCTATTTTTGAAATACACAACTAGCACACAATCCTTTAAAAAAAAAAATTCAAAACGCCCAACACTATGCTTAGATATTTTAGAGTTATTGCAAAAATATTGATATAGAACTTGAAACTCTAAGCGGATGTTCAGTACCTCAAGAAAACAAAAGAATCAATTATATTTTTCATATGCTCTCCAATATTAGATAAGACTAACAAAGAATATAACCCTTTTTATCACTAACTTTTATTCTTAATGGAGTTTAAAATTTCCAAAAATTTTTAGTTATGATTATGTTTTTATTCTTTTTTTTTATATAAATAACCCAATAACATAAAAAAATATAAATATATGAAGTCACCTCAAACATGTTTATAGTAACAAATAGTGATAGGATATGACTTCTAAATTTTTTTTTAAAAAAAAAAAGTAGTGGAGAAGTTAAACTTGACAAAAAAATAAACATGTCATCATCATCATCAATAACTTTATCCACAAAATTTGAAGTTGGCTTTATTAATCTCCACTATTCATTTTTAAAGAGTTAATCCGAGTGCCCCCTCAATTTTGTACATGTATTTTAGATAGAAAAATCTAACTCTACAAGATCACTTAAATATAGTGAACACTTAATAAAAATGTGTCTTTAGAGTAATGATCAATGTTCCATCAGGAACACCATAATTAAGTATGCTCAACTAGGAGCACTTCAAAGATGGATGATCTTCTAGGAATATTGCACTAAGAGAGCAAGTTCTGAATACTGATAGGCATAACGAACAATATCTCAATCAAAGTTTAAAACTGAGCAATTGGGTATTGAGGCGTTTTTTGTTCGTGAGGCGAGGCGTAAGCCTCAAGGTGTTTTGAGGCGTAAGCCGCAAGGCGTTTTGAGGCGTAAGTCTCAACATCTAAATATTATGTAAAGAAAAAATAAAAGTTAAAAGTCATTTTTATATAATACCCAAATAATATGTTAAAGGTGTTTTGAGGCTTAAGCCTCAAAATCTAAAAATTGCGTAAAGTAAAAATTAAAGTTAAAAGTGATTTTTATATAAAACCTAAATAATATGTTAAAGGATGACATATTAACTTTCTATTGAACTATGAAGTAACAAATTTGCATACATATGAAACAAAAAATTGCACAATATGTAAAGTGGTAAGTAATAAATTATGTGAAATATAACTAAAATCAAAACATTACGGGAGAAAAACAACACAAACTATATAAATTGCATAAACGTATTATATAACATCAAGTTTAGCTCTAAATTTCTTCTTTCTCAATTCCCTAATCATCTACATTTAATTACTAAAGAAAGTTGAAATAATTGACAACAATTCAAAAATCTTTTATATTGTCATTGCTAAGGGGATTTTTATTTGAGTCATCATAATAAATTTGATCTCTCCCCTGCCTCATCCTGTAGGGTCCAATACCTAACAATCTGCTTCTTCTTCATCTATTTTAGTCATCTTCATATTTCATAAATGTTTATCATCTACATAAAGATGAGAGTATACTCAAATTTTTAGAGGAGATGGTGGTGGCGTGCAGATTTCAAGTGATCCTGGCGGCGGCTATGAAGATGGTGACTATGATGAAGGCGATGGGCTAGAGGCCAAGGCCGTTGAGAGGAAGTTGTTGCGGCTTGGGAGTGCAAGAAGGCATGATTTTTTTTTAGCTTTTGTATGGGATTTAGCTAAGTTTTAAATAAAAAAACATACATAAATAGAGCGAAGCGCATGCCTCATAAAAAAAGATCGAGGCATAAGCCTCGAGGTGTTTTTCACTGGAATCGCATTGAGGCAGGCCTCATAGAGAGCCTCATATTACACAATTTTAAACAATGATCCCAATAGAAAAGAGTTTAAGCTATTACAAATGATATCATAGCAATACATAAGCTAGAAGATACAACATAGTGTCATGCAATACAAAATGCTACACAATGGCAAACACATCTTGAACCATTTGGGACAGCTCTAAATGGCAACAACCACCTTTAAGGTCCTATGTACCTAGTGAATATATGATAATAGGTTAAATAAAGCTATTAATGAGGAAATCATTTCCTTAATTGGAGAGATTAAAAGCACGATGAAGAAAACCTCTTAAATAAAAAGACATCTTTTAGTATGTCAGTTGGTATTTCGCTGGGAACTTCAAAATTAAGGGTGACCATGCTGGAGCATTCCTAAGATGGTTGGCCTTCTTAAAGTTGCACCAAGAGAGCATAATAATACTTGTTAAATCAAAAAAGACATTATCTCGATGCCTTAATTTTCAAACTGTGACAAAACCTAATTAGCAACTAGGAATGACAGTGCAAATAATCAATTAGTTCAAACAGCTTAACCCAAGATACCACTGACAGGCAATTAAATCCACTGTTTAGGGCAAGCTAAGGTGGCTCGAAGTTTTAACCCTGGCTAGTCTAGATTAAATAGAATGTCAGCTTACTACAAATCTCACTTTTAAATCTCGCATCAATAAAATGCATTTCTTATGTTAACAAGCATTCAATAGATCTGATTAAAGCAGAAAAGCATGCCAAGCAAAGTCATAAACCCTTCAACTTTGTATATTACCGGCATTGGTTTGTATTCTTCTCATGGTTATGGGTTATTCAAAAAACTTCAAGGCTTAGAAGCTTTAAAGAACATGTACATGAGTAGATGAAGAGCATTAAGAGGAAATCAATTGTCAGGTGAGGATAGGTGGCATTGTCACGTGATAAACTTGGATAAAAACATGTAAAGAAAAGTCTAGAAGAGATGAGAAAGTGCTATGAAGAAAAGTATGCACAGTCAGTAAACAAAATATTAGACCAACAAGAAATTTAAAAAAAAAAGCACAAATCAAGTAGTTGTGATAAGGCTACCATGGTAGACCTAGATAAGGGGAAAAAAGCCAATGAATTCATCATCAGCATGTAATAAATCTGAAAAAAAAAAGAAGTTATTTTAATCTACCATGAATAAAACTCTGAACAAGGTTTGCTTACCTTCTTAGATATATCATGATAAATTCCAGCTATATCATTGCCCGGATATATAGTCCTTGATCTGCAACCAAGTTAAGACGATGAAAATGATGATAATCAGGCAGAAAATGAGAAAAAAAGGTTCAAATTTAGTTCGATTGAGTACTATAAGAACTCATTTACCCGGGCAAAGGAAGTACAACGTCTTCAAATGTATAACCACCACTAATCAGATCATCAGAATTTATAGTCTGGAAAAACATAGAGTTGCACTCTCAAAGTGTGACTAGGGTCGCATATGAATAGCTAGCAAATAAATTCTAATGGATAAAAGTTATATGCATGAATAAATCACCTAATTTTGAAGCTCAGATAAAAAGAGCAGAAAAATAGAGAAAAGATAAAAAAGAAGAAGCATGCAGATGTGTATAGAATACTTGTAATAAGCCACCATCCCATTAAAAAAACAAATCACACCTTAACAAGCTGAATCTTTTCCTCAGGAAGTGCGACATCAGATATATCAAGTAAACTATTATTGCCCTCTCCATCATGATATTCATATATTGGTTCAACGCTCTCAAAAGAAGCAACTTTCTCAGAAATAGGACCCTTGCAAAAGACCAAATCTCCAACCACAACCTGTGCAGTACCTATTGTTCAAGGGACATTTTAGTGAAGAAGAACATACATACCTCAAGCACTCACCCCAAACATCTGGCAAAATGAAAACTTCTTTCCTATCAGGAGCTATGCATATTGCGAGATACTACCACAATAAAACATGGTCAAAGATGCATAACTCAACATCCAAAGGTATCAAGTAAATTAAAAGCATTATACATGTCTATTCTATAATGTGCATGACCATCTTATTGCTTGAAACATGAAACTGAAACCAAGCAGGAGCAAATAAATTTACCAGACAAGTCACTATGAAACATCTGAAGTTACAGTTCCATCATTTAAATGAATCAATGCACACCAAACATAAAAATCTATTAAAAAAAATCCGCAGCTTTGTGATGGACCGGCTGATTTGATTGGGAGGAAATTAGGAAGTTTCCTATTCAAGAGTGAGCTGTTTAGGAATGTTCTTAATCAAAAGGGATTAATTAGGAGATGTTTCCTAATTTAAGAGAGCATATTTGGGGGTAGATTTAGAAGAGATTATTTAAGAAATATTTCTTAATTGAAGAGGGCTGATTTGAGGGCTAATTTGGAGGCAGATTAATTATGAAATATTTCTCAATTAAAGAGGGAAGATTTTGGGGCTGATTTGGGAATTGATTTGGAGGAGATTACTTAAGAAATGTTTTCTGATTGAAGAGGGAAGATTTAGGGGCTGATTTGAGGGCCTATTTAGAAAGGAAATAATTAAAGAAATATGAAGGAATTGGGAGAAGGTTGTTTGAGTATTTATTGTTTATTGTTTGCTTTAAGTGGGTGATTTTCATTGGATTAGGGGTATGTCTCTTTTGCTGAGTTTAGATTGTTCTTAAGGGTATTTAGGCTCTATACGACAGCTAGAGATTTAGAAGAGCCGGATCTTCCTCTCCAATTGAAGATCCACTTGTATCTCGTCTTTTCTTTCATAAATCTTTCAATAAAAAGTATTTTTGTGTGTTATATTCCTGATTTTCTTGTCATTGATTTTCTGACATTGCTAAAATCAGATTTCAGCCAAGAGTTTTCCTAAATTTCTGCAAGCACTTTCTATCAAATTGGCATCAAAGCATTTTTCTAGGATGAAATAGAAGTCTTCCTTGCTGATTTCAGCAACGTTTTTCTCTCCAATCTTGTTGTTTTTTGTTGACTGGAGGCCATATTCGCATTAAAGTTGTTTTTTGTTGTTGGAGCCTAGATCTTGGTACTCATGATAGGAAGAAAGGTAGAAGTGCTAGAGGAGGACATCGAATAATTAAAATATGAAATTTTGAATCTCCAAACTCAATTTTTAGATTTCAAAAATTAAATTTTAGTTGTCCATGAGAAGATCAATGGGAAATTTTTCATCCAGGAGAGATGTTCAAGTAGTTTGTCGAGACAAACCAAGAGGGAGGTGGGGGAGGTGAAAATTTTGGGAGAAAGAAGAGGAGATGCCTCTCCTTTGGAGCCAATTCCAAGGAGGAGAAAGAGAAAGGAGTGGAATTTTTGGTGGAGCTGTAGAGTTTAGAAGGAGAAGAATATGAGGGAGAAGATACCAGACATGGTTCAACCACTCCTACAATAATTCCGAGAGGTGTTCCAGCACGTTCAGGGGTTGCCTCCAGTGGGAGCACGAGCATGATCATTTAGAAGGAAGGAGTTTAACATATCAGTGTTTGTCCATATCATTCTCCCCAAGTCCAAAAGGATGAGATCAAGAGATTGGTCAGGGAGATGCTGGATGAAGGGAACATTCGACCCAATGACAGCTTATATTTCAGTCCAGTGCTTCAGTAGCAGTTTTTTTGTTCCACCTTGAGGATAAGGTGACACTTTGGGAGGGGAGTATTGATGAACCAGCTGATTTGAGAGGGGGTTATTGATGGGTCAGCCGACTTGATTTGAAGGGAATTAGAAAATTTCCTAATCAAGAGTGAGCTGTTTATGAAGGTTCTTAATCAAAGTGGATTAATTAGGAAATGTTTCCTAATTGAAGAGAGCATATTTTGGAGTTGATTTGGGGGTTAATTTAGAGGGGATTAATTAAAAAATATTTTCTAATTGAAGAGGATAGATTTGGGAGGAAAATAATTAAGAAAATATGAAGGAATTGGGGGAGGGTTGTTTGGGTACTTGTTGTTTATTGTTTTCTTTAAGTAGGGTTGGGGTATGTGTTGTTTGTTAAATTTAAATTGTTCTTAGGATGTTTAGGCTCTAGTTGGCTGTTAGAAATTTGGAAGTGTCGGATCTTCCTCTTCAATTGAAGATCCACTTGTACCTTGTTTTTTTTTTTCATAAAACATTCAATAAAAGGTGTTCTTGTATGTTCTATTCCTGGTTTTCTTATCATTAGTTTTCAAAAATCATATTTCAACCAAGGTTTTTCCAAAATTTCTGCAAGCACTTCTATCAAATTGGCATCAAAGCAGTTTCTTGGATTGAAATAGAAATCTTCCTCACTGATTTCTGCTATGTTTTCCTCTTCGATCATGCTATTTTTTCGCTATTTGGAGGCCATATTCACATCAAAGTTGTTGTTTGTTGTTGTTGGAGCCTAGATCCCAAAACCCATGGAGGAAGAAAGGTATAAGTGTTAAAAGGGAAAATAAGACGATTGAACTCTGAAATTTTGAGCATATGAAAAATATGGCCTCACATTGCAGATGGATCAACAAAATTGAAGAGTTCAAAAAGGCTAGCCTGAATAAATGCTTCTAAACTGATTCAGATCAGTATTGTTTACAAAACCACAAACCATGTTTCTTTTTTTCAAAAAAAATTTCCCAGAGGTGAAATTCTATTTAAATGGATAACTTCAAGACCAACAATCATATTAACCTGCAATTCAAAACCATTGACAAGGCTTTCAACGTACAAAGCACAATGAGAAATGCTTAATCTCAGTCAGTATCAAGACGATCTTAATAAAAAAGTACCGGAGACTTTTGGGCCTCTATCTCATATCTCTTCATCTTAGAATCGCTAAGTCTTTGGATTTTGATCCAAAATGAACAATAATGCCTGTTTAAAATTGTTTCAAATGAGATCCGTAAATGTAGCAAGCCCAAAGTGAAAAGGCAGCATAACATCAGAGAACTATTTTACCCATATAGACGTTGGATTCCAACAAAATATCTAAAACATATGAAGAACTTCAACTTGATTTGTGTGTGGGGCTGACCAATCACAGCTCCCAAATCATAGACGGAATTGTTTTCTAAAATCATTTTATAAATTGGCAACTAAAAAACTAAAAAATTTCTGCAAACCTTTTAACGAATCTTACATGGCTAAATTTTATCTAATCAGGCTCTTCCAAAGTGACATTTCCCATGCAGTACTTTCTTTTTCTTTTCTTTTTCTGAAAACATTTTTATTTCATATTACAATCCCATGCATGAGAAGTGCATCAATGCAATTGCTTTATAACGTGGCAATATCATACCCATTAACGTCTTATTTTGACAAACCTTATAAAAGTTAACGGCAATATTAATTCCACTGAAATAACAAAATACCATATCTAACTTCAAATTAGTACTAAACATGCTAGTTGATGCAAATGCATATCACAACTGTTGCACATGAAAACCAAGGACATAAGACAAAAGCTACCTCATACCATGTTTTCGTACTCTCATACTCGCAGCATGGTTCCACAAATAACTTTGATAACTATGCACATACCTGAGGAAAAGAACAAGCAGTAAAAATGTTCACAAAATAATAGTTTAGGTAGAGATAGACCTAAAAAGACTTGACAATAAAATATTAGAAATGATCTTTCTTTATTAGATTTAAATGAGAATTTGACTTTTAACAGGCACGATGACGAAAAAGGATTCATGTAGCCGACCCCACGTAGTAGGACAAAGGCTTGTGGTGGTTGTTGTTGTTGTATACCCAAGTCCAATAAATGGTCTACAAGTGAAGTGTATGTACGCATGACTCTCTGTCTATGAACAAGCAACAAAACCAAACAAAAGAACAACCATTTTTCATGCCAAATATAGAGCCTCATAGTAAAAGTGACAGATGAGAAAAATGTGTCCCATAGATCAACATTTCTCTTCATCTTTCGTTCAGGTCCTCAGGACATTGCCAGAGGAGAAATTATCAACCTTCACAATCTATGCCAACTCAATAGTGCAATCATTATCATCTGGAAATATAAACAATTCAAAAACATACTGCATCTGAAAGAAAAAATGATGAAGTTTTCGAGGACAGATCAAGAACAGGTAAGGTCACATGGCAATGTCAGAGTATAGACTAACGCATTCTTCTTCAGGAGATAAATCAACATGCTACAAAGTTAATCATACACATTATAAACATTTTAGAGACTTAAAAAGAAAAACGTAAGTGCATTTCATATTATTTAGCTGGCTTGGAAAATAGAAAACCGTGAATTCAAATTCTTGGCAATAGATAACTTACATTAGTCTAAGTGTCCTAGGTATTCCCTGCAGAGCCTGCAAATAGTTGCCCGGGCAATTTTTTAAACACTGTATCTGTAAAAAGAAAAAAAAAATAGAAAAAAAAGGGTAAGCATTAACTAAGCATTAAAAAACACACAAAATTTGGATCCAAAGTTATGAAAGATCACATTAACAACAACAAAAAAAAAGATAAGAGTGATAGCACAACCTATGAAACCTTAAGTAATGTGATGCGGACATCCGATCATGAAGATTTTCAAAGGAGGAAATGACGATTGACGGCCGAGATCATTCCACCTTATCTTAATTTGTTATTTGTAATTTTTCTTTTTAATATGAATTTTCCCTTTTTATCCTTACTTAAGAGGATCATCCTATGTAAGCCCTAGGGGCGTATGTGTCTTGTTTTAGGTTCTTAGGCCTATATATAGAGGCCCTTCCTTGCGTAATGTAATGATGTATTAGTAATAAAATTTTGTTTGCACTTGTGTTCTTTGGAGAGAACTTGGGTGAGATTTCTATGGGAGGGAATCAGAGTTTCCACCAGCCGCAGGATGGATTCAGGCTTGTGGCTTGAAGTCCCATGGAGAAGGGCAACATATTACCCGTCAGCTGCAGGATGTGTCCTGGCTCACGGTTGTATTTTTCTTTCCCTAAATCCTTTTCTCCTCCTCTCTTAACTGCCGGCCAAAATCCCCCACTTTCAAATGCTTTCCTAATTAGTACATCTATTTTAGGAAGCATTCTTCAATCATATTAAATATGAAATTATTTCATATTTAACTTTCCAATCTTCCATTAATGCATGGGTCCACATACATTGTATGTGGACACCTTTTCTCTTCTCTCCATAGGTCGGCCCACCTTCTCTCCCCTCTCTAATTATTTATTCCCTAATTTACGGCATAAGATTATGGAATATTAATTACCTCTTCCATCCTTTATTCTTCTTATTTGAAATTTAAAATTTTTTAAATCTCCCCCACCTCCTCTCGTTCTACATCATAATGTCACAAGAATGGTTAAGAAAATTGGACTGAACCAAACAGTTGACTTGGTTGTACCATAAATCGGCCTTCGAATAGGTTCAATTCAACTAAAAAAATGGGTTTATAGGGAACTGGAATCAACCTATAAATATTGGCAGTTAAACCACTCAGCCCATCAATGGAGAGCTTTGGATTAAAATACAAAGGCGGTGTTGGAATATAATAATTTTGAACTTATTTCATCAAAAATGTTATATTTTAAAATATCCATTACAAATACACATTTTATTACTTACATATTATTAGAAATATTATGCATTTGAATCATTATAACTATTTCCATAATATTTATATCAGTAGTTAAACCCCAATCGAACATCCTTTCTTTCCACGGATTCAATGTCCGATCAAAGTTTAAAAATATTGGTTACAGTATATTTTTTTTTTATCACACAATGAATATTGGTTACAGGATATTTTTAAAAATATTGGTTAACACTGCCGTTGCCAGGTCCCAAGTCCTGGATAAGAAAAGTGGAGGGTTGCGTTAGGTAGTCGACAGCCAGCGTAAAACTTGTCGAACAATAATGACATGAATCCTTTAAGAAATTGTTGTACACAATGAATGAGCTAGCTCAAAAAAAATTTTGCACTTCATAGTAGACAATATTTGGTCTTAGTTTTTTTTTCCCAGTTAGTTATAACTTGGCTAAAAAATCATTCTAATCATAGAAATATGTCATATATTTATTCTATTAAGAATGTTTCATTTCACGCCTACTATGATCATTAATTTAATAAAGTTTACAACCAATAGTTTTCATTTAAAAGAAATTTTGAACTTGTTTAGGCCAAAATAAAAATTGCTGCACTTGGCACATTAAGGCATGACTAAACCTAGGAAAATGCGCAGGGCAATCACCAACAATTGATCCAAAAAACCAAAACGCACTTTCGGGCAAGAAAAAGCGTTGGCCCAATCAAAATTCATCCTAACCAACTGAATGCACAAGCAAAATAGTTGAGGTCATCATAATGCCGCATCATCCAAACTTAATCCAAGCATCTTGGCATATGCATATCAAGCTTAACATATTTTGACTGAACCTAGAAAGGAAATTAAAATGTAAGTAAAATATACTAATATAGACATTGGATCAAATGAGGGGCTTGACAGGAGTCAAAGAAATGATTGACTTGATAGTGAGAGTTGGGGGTAGAGTGAGGATATACAAAATGTCATTACGGGAAAAAAGTGATTTTAAAGAGTGAGTTGTTAATGGTGAACTATGCCGTGAGCATAACTGATACAACACCAACAGCATAGAAATGGTGCATGTCATTCATGTCCAATATGTGACATATAGATAGGCTCATGGCACATGCCACTATGCCATCTTATCTTTAACTTAAGGAAATTTTTATACACCTTGATAGAGAGAGTCGTCTTAGACGGTTTGGTCACATAAAACGGCGGCCTTCCAATGACCCGGTTAGGAGAGTAGAGGTATTAGATTTGACTTATGTTAAGAAAGGTAGAGGCAGACCTAAAAAGACTTGGTTAGAAAATATTAGGAATGACCTTTCTTTATTAGATTTAAACGAGAATTTGACCTTTAATAGAACACAATGGAGAAAAAAGGATTCATATAGCCACCCCACGTAGTGGGATTAAGGCTTGATGTTGTTGTTGTTCTTGTTGTTGTTGTTGTTGCTCTTATGGATAATAAATAAAAATTCCCATACTTGTTACCCTAATAAAAACAAACCAAAATAACAAGCAACTCAACCTAAAACGCATATCAAAAGTAACCCCACAATGAATAATAGAATGCCCTTACCTCTACATCCCAAGTCACATCCAGAGCATTGCCCAAAATAAACATTCATAATTATATTACTTAAGTAAATCATAGTTTGTAATTAAATAATCTTAACAAGTTCATTTCTAATCATTGAGTTCCTTCAATGTGATTATAATTTCATTTGAGTCCTTCCTAATCTTCTAAAGATCTATTTGAAATGTCATCATTCATCTTCACAAGTTCAAGGTTACCCTCAAGGTCTCGATCAAAGACAGAGTAGAAGTGCCTATAAAGTTTCCATTCTTGCATCATCCTAGTGTTATCAATAATTAAACATGCTATCAAGATGATATGATCGCACAATGTTCAAGGTGTTGAACGCCATCCCAGGCACCTGCCTAAGAAAAATGTGGTTCTATGAGGAAATAAATAACACTTACAAATTATTTTTTCAAATATGATAAATATTTTTTAAGAGTGTGATTATCATCACAATTAAAAAAGAAAATTTTATGAAGTTTCAAATTCAATTATACTCCAAGTTCACAATATTAAGGAAATGGATTATCTTAAACAAGTACATTAAACTATAATAATTTGTAGCATGCTCATATTCATCTTTAAGATTTACAACTCAAGTTGTACCTTTTTTTTTTCTAATTTGTTTCTAAGTGCACATTCTTGTTTTCATACTCTTGACACTATGCTTACATCACCTCATGTTAATTTTTCAAGATGTTAATTTATCAGCTTTCGCATTAGAAGTATTATTACCCATCACTTCAATCAAGGTGGATGATTACCTTATAACTAGAGCAGTAAAGTGAGATGCTCGTCTAAGCAAGCCTTAGTAACGCACCCACTTGGGAAGTGTGCAAAGTATTATGGCCTTGCCTTAACCGAGCACAATGCAAGCATCTGGCTCACCATTAACATCACTTTAATACCAGTGTAGGCATTCCCTTCCATCCGAATTGGGCACTCTTAAACGTGTCCCCATCATTCCTTTTTGTCAAAGTGTAAATACTACTATGAAGTAAAAACAAGATTTATTGTGAGAATGGCAATTGCATTAAAAAAAATGTGGCGCACTGCAAACGTACCAAAAGGAAAACAGCAAAGAGTTAAACAAAACTAAGATGAAATTCACAGTATCAAATCGCCAAAGTATTTGGATCACTTATTATTTACCACTTGAAATTAGTTTAGTACTTATGCTCTCATGGTTGTTCAATGAAAACAATGAGGAGTCAACAGACATCAAGATCAAAGGATCGAAAGGTGAAAAGTGAAAACCTAAGGGACAAATCATTATTAGGTTCAAACTTCCTACCTAGAAGCAATTAACATTTATAAAACTATGCTCGTCAGAATAATAGTAATTTAATCTCCTAATACCTAACAACTTATTGTTATTCGTTTTAAAATGTCATAAAATATGACAGTAAAGGAAATAAATATTAAAAGATTACTTAAATTAAGTACTTCAAAACTAACTTGGTTTAAAAAGGAAATCATACAGATGATGAGATTAACAGAAATTTGACAAGGAAATTAGAAGTTTTATTATGAGGAAAGAGATGAAAAAGGGCAACCGTAAGTAAGAAGATGTCAAAAACATAAATTGTGCAAAAAGACTTGAGTGTAGTACTCAATGGGAAGGAACAGTAGAAATGACAGTAAAATTTGAAAGTTTAAAAATTGAAACCCTTAACTAATCCTATAACAAATATTATAAATAAAGCATTAATAAACTTTTTATGCATACCTTACTTTAACTTTCAGGTTTAGGTGCCTCTATTTAAGCCAAATAGCTAAAAACTGCATAAGAAAATGCAAGTCTAAGAAGATGGAGGCCATAATGGTAACATAAATCGCACAAACTTTCCCTTTCCCATCAAGCATTCATTCGTATAAAGGATAGCAGGGCTTTCATACAAAACAAATGCAAGTATAGACGTGACGAACAAAAGCTAATAGAAATCCAAGTCCCCCAAACAGGGTAATATGTTCTCCTTTCAGTTAAAGGGCTAGCTCTTGACCACTTAAACTGAGTCCATGAAGCCTGTAACATTTACCAGTGACCTATTAAAACTTCAGACGATCCAGGCTCCTGCACTCATTGGGGACTAGTCCAATTGACAGCCTTGATTCTAAATGGCCGCTGATGCTAAGGAAAAAACCAAATCAACAACAAAACAGTTAACTACCCCGCACTCTAAAGGAGACAATCAGAATGAATATATATATATATATATATATATATATATATATATATATATTTGAACATGCCATAAAGTCAGAGAACCTTAAGCAAATAAGTTAAACAGAAAAGGAAAACTCAGGACTTTTTAATAAGATATTCATGGAAATTTCAAGACTACCCTAAATTGCCTTAAATTCCTCATTGTACGGAATCAAATAAGCAATTATTGATAATATAAGGAACTTGTGCAAATAGGGGAAGAATGGTTACACAAGTTATGAAAACTAAAAGAAACAGAAGCACGCAATGGAAAGAACTTACAATAGCTCTCTCAGCAACCAAATAACGAGGTAGTTGACTTAACACCAAATCAGCATTACCAGTTTTCTTGTACTTCTTCCGCGCCTCTTTAATGTCAGCTCTTTGTTTGAAAATTTTTAAATCAAGGAAAACAAGTTTTAAAATTGAAAATAAATTTTATTTAAGACAACCTCCTTAATAGTTTACTGATGAAATTAGGACTATAGGCATGCCATAAGGATATCCCCGTCCCTTGGATCAAGTATCAAATCTACAGCAGTCTTCCACTCTCCACGAAGGAGAGCAGCTCCAATTGAATGAGTTGGCACTGAACCACTCCCAAACCGCTGAAATAATTCCAAATTGAACAAAACAACCAGGCTCAATCAGTCAATCTGTATAATAAAATTTCAAAGCAGAGGATGAACATATTAAATATGCAATATTTTTCTTGCTACAAAAAAGATACCACCTGCAGACCATAATAATTGATAAAACCACTCCTTCCTAAACCATCAGCAGCTGCGTTTATAGTATCTACTGAAGCTGCAACAACACCTCTACACAGAAAAGTTAAGTAGAAGGGAAATCAATAATAAAAAAAAAAAGAAAAAAAAAAACACAAAGCTTATTTCACAAATAGCACATACAAATAACTTTAAGTACCTCAAAGTAATTGTAAACCTATTTCCTAGTAGCTGACCAAGAAGAAGTCCTTTCTTCAAAAAACTGAACAAAACCAGTAGTGTCAGATCGACTAGCAGCAGTGGATATAAGGTGGCATTTGTTGCGCACTTCAACACTCAAAACAAAAAATATGCTGCGATGAAAGAAAAATATAAAGAATGGTTTGTACTCACCAAAAGTCTCCAACTTTAATGCCAAACAATCTGCAATTGAGAGCAGCTAACCTTTCTGGATGCAGCTTAAATACAGTCACCTAGGAAGAAGAGATAGAATTCAAATGCATGTACCTTGAAAGTTGTTGAATCTAGCAGTGCAACACATAGTCAAATCCTACTTTTCTGGTGGCGATTAAAAAATGGAAAACACCTTTGAGTTTAGATCCTTTTTCTTCCGGGAATCAATCCATTTCGTTATATGTATGGTTCATGGATCAAGGAGCCTTAAAATTTCAATTCAAACATTTTTCTCAAATCCAAAGATACTAAAATCAGCCCCACAGAAAACTGATTAATTCAGTTAGATCACAATGAACATGATTTAAAAATTCATAGCATTTCTGGCGTCTGCAAACCTGTACTGTACGCAAAATAAAAACCCATTGGAAGACGAAAGTATCCTAGTCAAAATATTTACACAATGTCACAACTGAATATAACCTGTAAGCGAAAAAGTTAAGTTCTCATCCCAACAAATTAATTAATGTGATATATTTTCATTTGAACTTTCTTGTCATGGCTATTTCAAATTATAAGTGGAAGTAATGAATGGCAAGAATGAAATTGAATGTAATAGCTCTACTGAAACCGAACAATAAAATGGAAATAAGAATGTGATGAAAATAGGTACCCTTTGAGTTGTTATGGCGCGTTTATCTTTAGTGCCAGCAAATCCAAACGAGCGTTGCTTCCCATGACAATCAACACAAAAAACTAATCAATGATTATTATTTTGCAATCTATAATCAATGGTTAAAAGACATCCTTGCCAAAAAATTATATTCAATACAAAGACAACAAACAAAATGGCATGGGCACAATCAATCTGTTACCTGGATACCTAGCATCTTCCCTATGACCCCCAAAGCCTCGTGGGTGTCTTTATTCTCCTTGTAAAGATTAAACCTAAACAAAGATGAGAAAAGATCAAATAGGCCATTTGTTGCAGCATCACTAGAAAATCTTAAGGTGAAGAAGGTAGAGATATGAAGCAATCATGCATGGATCAAATGGATTGACGATTAATATTGAAAGAAAATACTACATTTTTCCAAATCTTCCCTAACACATGATGACAAACTGTTAGACCGGACCACTGGACCGGTCCAGCCGGTCCAGGAGGGACCGGTTCACGGACGAAACCGCAAAACGGCGGAGATTGCTTCCGCCTGGGCGGAAGCCGCGCGTGACGCACGCCTTGCGGCCGGTTTTTGGAAGGTTTTTGAATGGATTTTAGGAGGGAAATTGATTGTAGGGATTGTTTAAGAAATTCCTTTTGAATTGTATGCATTAAATAGTAGATTTTCCTAGGTTTTGAGTATCTTGAATTTGGCTGAAATTTGAGATCTCGTAGATTTAGGATTTCTTTGGGCTCTAGCGGCGTCTAGAGATTTGGGAGAGATCGATCCTCCTCTCGAATTGAGGATCAATTGTATCTTGCTCTTTTATTCATCGTCTAAGTGGAATACAAGTCTTTTCTTGAGTTTTCTCTCGTATTTTCCCGGACAAGTGCTGTTTTCCTGCTGTAAACAGCAGAAATCTGCTGTTTTCCTGCTGTGGACAGCCATTTGGCTGCTGTTGGTTCGCCGATTTTGGATAGGTTGCTTGTGAATACAAGCACTTCCTATCACAAACCTTTTTAGGAAATAGGTTAATTTAACCAAATCTACTCCCACAAAGTTTTTAAAACAAGGTGATGGAAAACTGAAACGAAGCATTACTGGTTATCCGTCTAAAGCAAGAGAGAAATCTTTATTTATTCTAAGAATTTGAAGGCCTCCAACAATAATAATCAATCTTACTTCCTCAAAACAATCAGAAAAAGATTTAGATGTGAACTTCATTCAATCAAATTGATAAGTTCTGAAAAAGTTATTAGTTTAAGAGAGTAAAGACTCAAAAAATAACAATAAATTAATAAACTGCTCGCACCAATTGAGTGTTTATCTTTTGGGAAAAATGGGGATAAATCAATTGTTATCTTCAATATACAAGCTGCACACTTATTCAAGGCTTAGCGTAATAATTTCTTAACTTTAGAGCGTGTTAAATAAACTGTACCAAAGGAGGTGTGGGGGAGCAAACTGAACAGCTTGCTAAACCATGCAACACTTATTAAGCCAAAGCACTGCTACTAAAATAATCAATCACTCAGAAGACTGGTTTTTTGGTTGGAGAAAAATATGAATAAGTGAAAAAGAATGTAGGGAAAATGGAAAGTTAAGGCATTCAATCTGCAGGGAAATTGGAGCTAAATAAAGTTCTACACGTTTGGAATCCTCAAAGCCTCTTCCATCCAAACTGTGAATTTACTGTGCATTGCATAAAACGCTGCATTCCATTCTCAGAATTCAACAAAATCAGAACCAAGTCAAAGAAAACTTTACCGTAGGAACTTGCCTCGCTCCTCAGGCCAATTATCTGTACCCCTGCTATCAAAAGGAATGTCATTTTTCCTTCCTGAATTCTCCATATCTTTCCTCTTCCTCCCTCCCCTACCCTTTACACCTTTACCAGAAGAGAATCTAATCCTAACGCACTTGGAATTGCCATCCTCTCCATCCACTGTATCTGTTACAAGGAATTTGAAATTTGTCTTGAAGAAATTATGAACCTCCTGAAATGCCCCAAAGAAAACAAAAACACTGCCTTCAATTCATCTGAAAAAATCAAATAAGGGCTCATTTGGTTGCATAAAGTTGAAAATTATGTTTTGAAAAATGGTGAAACTATCAATCATTTGATTTGATGTAATTAGAAACCAACATGATCGACAAATCTCCTCAAAACTCTCTCAAACATATAACTCCATTTCCTTGCAAAATGAGTGAAAGCAAATTCATCATTTTCTTAAATATGTTTTTATATACAAATTGCAAGCAACCAAACCAGCCAAGAAAGAAGAACAAATGAAGGCGCAACATCAAGAACTAACAGTACGGTGGGACTTATCAGAGTCTGGAGCAAGAACAATGGGGGGCAACTCATCACCCACAGTGGATGCAACCTTTTCAAGGAATTCCTTCAACAGTTTAGCATTAGCTTCTCCAGCAAGGGTTTGAAATAATTCAATCTCATCTGTGAAGCACTTTTGATCCGAAGAAGCTTTTCTTTCCTCCTCTTTAGAACACTAATACAAAAGTCTAAATTACATAAAAAATCAAATTATTTTGATATGTGCAAATGCTATAAAGAGTTTAGTAATAACTCAAAACATCCATACACACACACGCACACACACAAACACACATGTTTAAAACCATCAAATAAACTATAAAATTAAAAATATATATCATATATTTAAAAATTATGGCATTTTAAGGATTTTATACGAATACTACAGACATCTTTTTCACAAAACTGGGACCATACATAAATAAAATAAAATTTATGCAATTAATGGAAATCTACTTGACTTGTTGTCAATGGCAATTTTTTTTTGGGGAAGCGCAGGTGTTTCAAAAATTTTAAATTATTTTTAATTTGTAATTTTTATATTATTATTATTAATTGTCTTTTAAAAATATAAGCATAAGTAATATTTTTTTCATTCATATAGAGATAGATTGAGATCAAGTATTACAATCAAAATTTTATAATGATAAGTTAAAAAAAATTAATTTATTTTAAAATCAATGCACTATAAGTAGAAAAAATTTTCCGGTCATAACTATTATAAAAACTATCTACAAAATAGAATTGGAGAGCAATGATAGTTTAGTCACTAATATTGAGAAATAAATATTTATTAATCATTAACTCTTTACGATAAGAATATGAAGAATAAACGTAAAAATTATAAGTTTTTTATCATCTTATGTTTTATCTTTTTAAAAATAATAAGTTCAAATACAAAAAAAATTAAAATTGCCAATCTTAAATCCAGATAAAAAAACTAAGCTATTATTTAAAAATATTAATTTGTGCCTACTGAAAGAGGGCCATGAGCTTCACGAACAAAATTTTTCGCGTTTTCACCCTTAAAGGTAAGTGGGAAAAAACGATTACCTTAGGCGGCAAATCAAAGGAGGTTAAGCGAACAATGTTCCCGTCGAGATCCACCTCATTAACGATGAAATCCGAGTACCTAACACGACGAAAATCGAGAAGCAAATGTCAAAAAGATGTTGGCGATTCACAGAAAACTGTGGGAAGAATAGTGACCTCTGCTTAAGAACAGCCCGGAAGCCGGGCAGGGAAGAGACGTAGCAATAGATGCCGACGTCGGACTCATCCACAGATTTCGCCATGGCGAGGGTTTCGAAAGTGTTAGCGAAGGGTTTTGTGGGGTGGCAGGGTTTTGGGGAGAAGGGGATAAAGCATGGAGTCAAAGAGATGGAGAAGTTTGCCCCCCTCATTGGAGTCGATTCGTTTGGCAACTGGCAATGAACTGTTTCTGGGCTGGGCTGGGCTGGGTTGCATTATGGGGCAAACAGCCCTATCAATTGATAATCAGCTTGAATTCAACCCAATAAAACTAACGTAAAATCAAGTTTAACTAATTATTTAAAAGATATTAATATAAAATGAATTTAAGAACATTAAAATACTTTCAGCTTTGTGATTACTCAATTTCATATATTATATATTTATAAAAATATCCTCTTTATTTTTTTATTTGACCAAATATCTTCAAAAGATAACATAAGATGAAAATATTTTTGAAGTGCGTATAATTTGCTTCGAATACTATTAATATAATACCGCTCGGAACATGAAAAAATAATATTTTATTCCATTTTATTCATACATTGTTTTATATTTTCTCTCACATAGTTATTGCTAATTTATTTGTTCTTTTGTGTAAGATTTCTAAATAGAGTATCATAAGAAGTTTGCGACATTATAGGTCAATGAAATAGTTTAGTCCAACATCATATAGTTATGTGTTAGCATTTCAAACATTTAAATAATAGTATGATATATAGTTAAAGTGATTCTTTAATAAGTGATTAGTTATATTCGTTAAGGGAACATAATTAATATAAACTAAATCGAAGTCGTGTATCAGCGCACACTTATTCTTTAACTGTTATAATTAAAGTCCATCAAAAAACTTAACCATTATTTATTTAGCATATGATTGAAGAGATGATTATTGATCCAACCTAAATTTGAAGTCAAATGCAATAATATTTGATATTAAGATGGCCTATGGAGTTGATTTGTCATATGAAAATGCTTAGCATTGTCATGAACAAGTTATTTGCCATGCAATATGGACCTTGAAGAATCCCCATAGAAATTACCATTGTATATTTTCATGCTAAATAAAAAATAAAGGCATGTTGATGCTTCAAGTCATTTTAACTATATTTACTTTTTTGGGGTGTTTACATTTGAAACTTTATATAAAATAAATTTGAGTATTCATATATATATATGTCACCCAGTTCTAAGTGTCAATATAATTGTATTTGTTGCTCAAGATATGAATACTCAAATTTATTTGATGGTGTTTACAATAGTTAATTCAAGAAATAATAAAATGTTAGTGTATTTTATATTAGATTAATAGAGTCGATAGGGTATATTTTCTATGCCTTAGGTATAGTATTTCCATATGTGTATCATAGAATGTGTGCTCATGACATTGTGATGAATATGGCAATGTTTTGAATTGTTAGCTATCATGAGAATTATCAATTTGCCTCAAAACCTTATAAATAGATTGATTTCCCTCTATACTTTACAAAATTAAAAGTAAAATAAATCATTGGAATGTGAAGTCAATTGCATGGGAACTGATATAACTTAATAAGAAGTACTACTTTAAAGAGTTGTAATTATGTTACCAAAAAAAAGTTATGTTGTTTATCTTACAATTATCTCATAATATATATTTAATTTTAATATTAAAATATTATAAACTCTCCTACAATTGGTTGGATTGATGGATATGCCTGCAAATTCAATGTCCGCCCTGCCTCGCCTAATTTATTAAAAAAACTAAAAAATTTCTCAAAATCCACTCCTTTTGCTTTCTTTTTTTGCAACTGACAGGCTTCCCTCTTCTCCACAATCATCCCTATGGACCTCCGAAAGAGCACCGCGCAAACAAGCCAAGTAAAAGGGACAGATTGGACCATACATACGATTAACCATGAAGGATAGCACCTCTCGTCAACGCACCTCGATGGGTAATAATATATATGGCCTAATCACAATCACGGGTTTCCCCCACCTGATACATCAGCTCGGATGAAGTTTAGTAGATGATGGAGTTCAATTTCCCACGGTGCAAGCTCCCGTGATTAATTACATCTTAGGACAGAGCCTGAGAATACTTTCGATTAAGGATCATACATTATCCTTTCCAAAAATGGGATTGGCACATATGGCTAAGACTAGGAAGTCCTATCCAAAGGGAAGAAAGGTCTAAATGGGCTTGGTCGACATGCGAGGTTCACACCAGCATTCGGAGGCTCTAGGGTACTAAAGAGAAATTAGAGAAAATGAAGTCAAGCATCCAGTCACATGCGTGAAAGAATGATGGAGATGGCGTTATTTATGTGACGCAGATAAGTAGGATTTATAGTCCCTGAAACGAAGGAACCTACCCACTATTTAGGCATACTACGAGATCGAGTATAGTAGCCTCGAATCCTAAATCTAAGTTCGGTTTAGTGGTTCTACACACACTAAGACCCGTGTCCTAGCTAATGCAATACAAAATCTAGACTTTACCTCAGCCTGGATTAGGGAGCTAGCTAACCTCCTAGTCTCTTTAAAACCATGCTGTCAAGTCAATTATGAGAGATGGGTGGATGGTGCAATTCTTTGGAAATATGACTAACGTCTAAAGAGTTTCCTAATTGGTCATAGACTTATGTAGGTCAAATGCTCCTAGCTAATACAATTAAGTTTTAATTAGTTGGTTACTAATATAATGCATACTAGTTAAAGAGACTAAATAAAAAATGCATCAGATTTTAAAAACATGCTAAATATTAAATAATTTTTAGAAGAAAACTAGACTTCCCCAGGTCCGGAACTTCATCCTCATAAGCCAAATTATCCAGACTCTACCCGCAGGCAGGGAAGTGTCTAAAAGCAAGGGAGAGAATATACAAAATTATGCATGCGACCTCGGACGATTCCGGTAATTCCCTAGGTCGTTAGATTTCTATGTTATTTCAATCTTAAAATTTAAATATTAGTTATGAGTAGAAAAATTTTATTATCCTTAAAGAGCCTAACGAATATCCAGACTAAAGCAAAAGTGGCATGCAAGAAAGAAACCTAAAAAACAGGTAATTTCTATTGTGCAAGCAAAGTAAATACATCGATATAAATTAACTAATCAAGTAAATGTTTATAGGCTAACTACCTTTTAATTACAACTCATGGTCTGTAAAAAATAAAGTGGTCAGGCACTACTGCCAACAACCCAGATTTCTAAGCTTATGACTGACGCAAATAACTTTAAGTGAGATATTGGGTCTTCAAAACTTCAGCTCTTCAGTCTTATTTGGATTTCTTCTCCTTGGACTCCTTGGGTCTCTCCTCCTTGGACTCCTTAGATCTCTCCTCCTTGGACTCCTTGGATCTCTCCTCCTTGGACTCCTTGGATTCGTCGTGGCTTGAATATTCAAACGAAGAGACAATTTCACCCTATAGGGGGTATTGCCTTTTCTCTTTGAATATATAAAGCCATCTAACTCGATCTTCCAAATGAAAGAAGACTTTTCCCTATGAGGATGCCTTCTTCTTTTGAAATCCGAGTTAGATAAGATCATAAGAATATCCCAGCTCAAAGTTGTATTTTCATAACTCTTAACAATATTACAATTATTACATTAATGAAAAGAAGTAAACTATAAACTACCTGTAAGGTTATCCTAATAAAAAAAATACCAAACAGTTTATATATCGCAAGCAATTATATAAAAATAAAAGCAACTCATTGAAGCAACACTTGGTCATGCTCTTAATTATGAGGGCTAAGCAATCTTCTAGAGCACATATAGCAGTTATTATTTAATGACTTAAATTAGCCCTCATTTATTTAGGGAGGCTGAGAAAGCACCTGCATAAAACAATATTAGAAATCATGACATTTGCCCCCCTCTTTAGCATTGCATAAGCATGAACACCTGTAAGAAGAATAATATATATATATATATATATAGCGTTCCTAACCTAAAGGTAGATCTAATGCATATTACATCAATTCACAGTGCAGTTAAAGTAAGCAAACACACCAACAATTCATCACAACATGTAGTGAAAATTCAGAAAACCCGACACACAGTAGAAAAAGGTAAACCCTAGCCTAATCTAAGTCTAAAAGTGGTGCCCTATCAAACAATTCTATGTGTATATAAAGCTTGTGTGGTTGGGGTGTATCCTAATTTGGGTAGTTAGTTAAAGTTGCCTAAGATTATAGTCTGTTAAGACTAGAAAAGGAAATTTTGATTAAAGTTCAAATATTAGTAGATTAAGTTCCATTTTAGTTAATTTAGTTTTTTGATCACTTTTAAATACTTAGGGTAATGATATTTGAAGTTTAAATTATGTTAGCCAATTTTGGAAAGTTCCGGGTCCTCCTAGGTACTAGGCTGAGGGGGTCCAAAAAGTCACTATAGGAAAAGGCTAGTTTTGAGGTTTCTAAAATTTTATGTAAATACTATACCTTAATATGAGTAGTTAGACAGATAGTTTTCTAGATTTAGAGCTTTCTAGGCAAAGATATGAATTTTATAAGTTTCGGGTCTTAGAATATAGGCTGGGGTGGACCGGAAAATTGACTTTCTAATTTAAGTTAGTTTCTAGAATCATAATATTTTTAATAAATACTATACCCTAATTGGAGTTGAATGCAATGGAGTTTGCCTAATTTGGAATTTTTTACAATTAGTTATGAATTTATGAAGTTTGGGTCTTTATGGAATTATTTAAATTATCTAATTAAGGGGCGATTTTATGGTTTTGATCCAAACCAGCTCCAAACTAATTGGAATCATCCCTAAAGGTTAGGGATGACCTGAAAAAGTGTTTCCAAGTGTTTGGATAAAATTTGGAATTTTAAATAATTTTTAATAATTTATTAGGGGTGAAACAATAATTTCTAATTGAGGTTAAGCTAAGGGTCAGATTGGGGTCAACCTAAGGATCCCTATTTATCTCAGATTAAGGACCTAATTTTGAACAATTTGAGGTATGGTAGGTATTTTTCTGACCTAAAATGGATTTATTTTAATTTTTAGAAGGTCTTGGAGCCCTATTTAAAGGGTAAATTAGGGTTGGTTAATTAAGGGTTCTAAAGAGGCCTAAAAATTCCTAGAAAATTCTGGGAGGTTTATGATGTCACTAAGTTTAAATTTTGAAGTTTTCATGTCAATCAGGGATCTATCCTAGCTCCTAAAATTTTTCTAAGTTTGTTAGACGG